ACAATCCCACCACAAGCAACAGATCTAGAATTAACAAAGACAACACTATCTATATTGAGTTTAACCTAATTAGAGAACCACGAAGTATAATTTTTTATATGGAGAAGCACGAAGTTAATTTTTTAATTTATAATAACTCAAATCAAATTAAACTAGTGACAAATATAAATATATTACATATTAAAAGGAGAATTTAAAACTTTTATATGGCGAAGCACGACGCCACTGATAATAAGGTTGTTTAATTTAAAGTTAGAAAAAATAAGGTACTCAAATTATTCATTTTAGCTTGTTAAACCTAAATGAGTTTTAACATGTTCAGTAAAATATCTCAAATTTTGATTTGAATTTATAAAAGTACTGTCTATAATTGACAATTTTTTAATTTTTTTTTGCAAGTTTAACATGTATCAAGTTCGATCAACTAAAAATAAAAAAATTTGTTTAACGTAAACTCTAAATTCAAAATTTTACCTTACAATCTATCGGATAGATTTGAACTATTTCATTTGAACTCTCTTATTTTACTAATTTTTACCACCCAATTTATTTATATATCTTAGCAAATAAAGTAAAAACACAGATTTAGGCCAGGTTATTTAATTTCAATTCAAATCAACATTTTAGATATAATAATTATTTTTGGCTTATATTTGAGTCGGAGAGTATATATTAAGAAAACATTTGTACTGTGAGAGTAAGAGAAACAAAATTTAATCATTAAATATCATCATAAATGAATAATTATGATTAAAATCTATAAATTAATTATCATTAATTACTAATTTGATTTTTAAATCTTATAATAATGACAATCTACATATTTATGCATATAGATTCACATGTCTTTACATTTCTTTTTCTCAAGTGTAAAAGCTTCTCTCACGAATTATTTATACATGTGTGTCATGAAAAAATAATTTTTTTATGTAAATAAGATGAATAATTATAATTAAAATATATAAGTTATGTAAATTCTAACGCAACCTTTTATAATAATTATAAAACTTCTTAAGTTTTATAACAATTATAATTGATGTATAATTATACAATCTAAAACGCCACCTAGGTTTTATAAGTAATGGGTGGACTAAGTCATTTGTACTACTAGACAGCTAGCTCACAATCAAGATTGCAATTAAGTTTCCCTGAAGTGGCGATGGATTTAATTTATTTTGCACCTAATATGTTGTAGGTCCAACTTTTAAATACGTGATTAATACACCTACATTAAATAAATATTCAGCAGCCAAATTAAATACATAAGATGTGTGTGGACTTCCAAAATCATTCACAATCTGAATATTCATGTACTGTAGCATTAATGATTTTTTAATATGTCTATAGTACTTAATATAATTTTTTATTTATCAATAAGGAGGGCTGTTCTGACGATTATCTCTAAAAGGAATTTCAAAATGACACTTTTATAGTGAATAAAAAAAATATTCATTATAATTTTATTTGAAAGATAACTTTTAATTTTTCAAAATATAAAGTTACTCATTGAAATATTATATTAATTTTTTTTCGTTGAAGCAATAGTTCCTTAAATTGCCAACTTTATTTACACAAGCAAAATAATTTTTAAATATAATTAAAGATTGTTTTGCTTATGCAGCTAATTAATTAGTTCAAACATAACACTTAAAGTTGTGTGAATTTAGGATAATGATTAGTATATGTTAGTATGCATGAACGAGTCTTAGGAAAATAAGTAAATTTTGATATATACAAAACTTATTTTTACGTTGAGATATTTATTTTTAGTTTTAATTTCATGAAACAATGAAATGTTTATATTCAATTTAGAGGAAGAAAAGTAGACTTAAAATAAAAATAATGCTAGCACAACGTTAACGACATTAGTTTCGATATTAAGCATGTTGTGTCTTGAAAAGAAAGATAAATTTTTGTCATTTCATTCTTAATAATGATTGAAACAATGTTAAGTTTAAAGATAAAATTTTCAATTGGTTGGTTACGATTTTATGAGGATTTTCTCTTTTTCTCTGTTATAATTTGTGAATATAAGAGATATTGAAATTGAGACGCAAGTATAAAATTCATCAATCTTTCGTGAAAATTTTTTCAATTTTATTTTTTCACTTCTTTTGTTTTTCCTACCATGTGTAGTTGACATTTCAGTCGAGGAAAGAGGGATATCAATCCTAAACCTTTTATGTAATCTAAATTCTTAGGTTAATTTCAAATTGTTTTCCTTTTAAAATGCTTATATTTGTTTTTAATGTTTCTATAAATTGGTCACTTGTAGTTGATTTTAGAACTTTTATTCACAATTGAAAATTTGGTTTAGAGGTTAGAATTAAAAAACAAAAGCAACATGATTGAAAGTGCTCTAGGAAGATACTAACAATAATGAGATTTTGTGAATTCTTGAACTTAATAGTTGCTTAGATTGGGAGTTTCTAAATAATTGATATCTTTATTTTGGAAGAGATTGTCTTTTAAGTATGATAGAAAATTTAATTTCAATTGCATATTTAAAACTTAAGCTAAATTGGAAATGTAGATAGCATGAATAGAGGATAAGGTGAACTCTAATCCTAACACTTTAGCATATTAATTCTTTCCATATTCCTCTGAGTTGATTGAGTTGATAAAATATTCAATTGTGTTATATATATATATATATATAATTTTTTTAAAAAATAGTTAATTATTATTATATAAAAATATTTTTCTAATTTTATTGGTGTTCAAAATAGTAACGAGTTAAGAAAAATTAATACTTAAAAGATAATCTTCATGAGAATGAACTTTATTATCATTTATTATTAAAATAATTATTCACCTATCACAAATTTATCAACATAACTTAACTACTTATTTAATAACCTTATTATATAATAATTTATGGTAAAAATTTTAGTAAAATAAATTAAAAATTTATTAGAACTATAAACTATTTTTATAATAGTTCTATAAAATCTTTTGAATGCTCTCTAAATTGTCTCATGTAATTGTTTATATTAGTTGGTGTATAATTTATATCTTGTATAATTAATAATTATAATAGAAAAATACTAAATTATTTGTAAAAAAAACTTTAACTTCATTAAAAATATTACTCTTCTTCTTCCCTATAAATATAGGCAAAACATAATTTATTTTGACAAATTTTAATTGATTCCTTATTTTTTTCCTTCATCCTCTTACTATTTTAAGAGATAACAAAGATATTCACAAACTCTTCCAACATCAAACCCATCACTTTATAGGTACTCTAACCATTACTTTACAAGTTTAAGATTTTGAATTTTGTCAATTAAGGCAATAATTTATTTTTTTTAAAAAAATATGTTAATGTAATGAATAATAAAATTGATAAGAAAGATTTACTATGTTTGAATGTTTTGAGAAGTATAAGAGAAGACATATAAACATGCTATTTGAAAAAGAAAAAGAAAATATTTTTACTAAAGTTAAAAAAAGAAAGAAATCAAATCATAAATACGTGAATGAGAGAAAAGGAAGAAGAAAACAAATAAAAAAAAGTCAAATGAAAGTTTCACTAGAATATACTATACTTTTGTTGTAATTTATAAAAAGAAAGAAAGCTTCACTAGAACTTATTTGTTTTTCGTCTTTAAAAATAATTTTTTTAAAATAAAATAAATTATATTTATTAACATAAATTTTAAATAATAATAATGTGAGAATAATAAATTAATTTTCTGTCATCTTGACAAATTAACACAAGGATTAAATCTTTATAATTTAAAAATATTAGAGACTAAATTAAAAAAAAAGAATTCATTCTAAAAAGTGTTACTTTTATTTAAATTTAAAATATAATTCAACCATATATTAATATAAATACTAATAAAATTGTTCGGAGGATGATTTTTCTCCTTCCACTATAATGGCACAGCTGTAATTCTGTATCAAAATTTGATTGCTTTCTTGTGTTTGGGATTTGAATGAAGCTAAATATTTTTGCTTAAACAAAGTGCAAAAACAATACTGTCTACAAAGTATTAGTTGACGCATAAAATACGGAAATCTTAGCTCTTATGCTTTTTTCTTTTTTAAAAATTTTAATTCCAAAAATAAACCTAATATTTATCAATGTTTCAGTAATCATAATATTTTAAGAAAATTTCAACGGTAATGTAATATTTAAGATGTCAATTTATTTATATAATATATAAATAATTCATTATTTATAAATTAATTTAAATGTGTAATTTTATTATAATACAACTTGTGTGATAGCACGGGGTTACTTATTAATTATATAAAAAATGAAAGCCTTTCACTCTGAATACAAATAGTCAAATAGATGCTCAAGAGTTAGACCAAATGTACAATCCTATAGGATATTTTTTATATTTTAGTAATAGAAGAAAATAGTGAGACACAAGCACCGAGTTACTTTTGGCTTATTGGTGTAGGAAGCATGATTTGTGAGCGTATAGGACCGGTGCAGAAGAGAGGAAGAAGATGATGATAAAACAATATGTAACAAAGCTAAATTAAAATTACTTATTTTAATCATATTTAAAAGTTAAAAAATTAAAAGAAAATAAAAAATAAACTTATAAAACTGAATTAATTTTATCTATTATTTATACATTATATAAGTATTTTAAGTGTAAATAAAGTATAAAAATAAACAATATAATATATATAAATATGATTACTATTAAATAATGATGGACTAATATAATAAGGACTAAAATATCATAGGAAATGATTCATTGTCAACAATGATAATTTTATTTTTAAATAAAAAATTAAAGACACTTTTTTGAAATTCCAGGAAAAACTACAAAATAAATCATTTAAATTAACCCATATCATTTTATGTCTATTAATTTGATAGTGTATAAAAAATATATAAATTAAAATTAAACTTTAATTTGAGATTGATTGATTAAATTTAAATAATAATATTTAAGAAGAATAAAAATATAAGATACTTGATTAAGAAGAAACCACATAGCATACTGAAAATGAGAGTTGATTCTAAAAATTCTGTATTCAAGAATTTAAAATACAGAGATAAATTTATCATACAAAAGTTTGGTACAAATTTTAAGATCCTTGACATGATTCTAAAACAATGTAACAGTAAAAATGTTAATTAGCTGAGAAAAATAACGGAGGGAAAAAAAAAGAAGGAAGCAAAGCATTCATACTTCAATAGTGTTTTGATTTAGAGCCATGTATCTCCACCTCTCCTTCTCCACAAAGTCTGCATCCAAGAACCTAGAAAGAAAAGCCCATAACCTGTAAGTGTCTTCAAAGTTTGTCAAGAAAGTCATTGCAGCAGTCACCACAAATATCCCACACTCTTTTCGAGTTTTCTTGGACTGGCCCAACCCTCCCCCCTCACATGCTCTAGTTTCGTGGGCCCATTGGTTCTCTTTATTCTTGTTCAAGAACCTTATATTTTTCAGAAATGAGCTACTTAACGAGATATTGTTACGATCAGCTAGCTTCTGCACAAGTGTCGGATCAATTTTTTCACCTTTCCAGTCAAATATATTAAATGCCACAGCTGGCCCCCGTAGAGAACTTATCTTTGGCCCATAGATCCTAATTAGTGAAGGCCTATTTTCATGATGTGGATGTTTGAGACTCATTAATGCATTAACCAACCAATTTATCAAATACCTGGCCCTGCTACTAATCAACAATAACCCCACCGAGTTTGCATGGTCTAATCCTCTGCAATCAATCTCCAACCTTTCATTTTTAGACGTGTCAAAGGATGTGCTTAACTCCTCAATTTCTTTTACAAAAACTTCCTCAATCTCATGCTGATCAGAAATTTCAGTCTCTTCAATTACAGTGATTGATTCTTGAGGGAGTTGAGGTTGCCTAAATGCTGGGACAAGGCTTACAATTCCCACGCTTGTAGCATTTCCTGGATCTTTTAAAACAGAAATACTAGATTTTTTGACAAATAAGCAACCAAAACCTGATGGGTTTTCACCGAAGACTTTGTAAAATGAGCAAACCATAAAATCAGGCTTAAAAAGAGACATACCCAAGGTGCCCATTTCCTTAGGTTTCAATGCGCACATATCAAGCAATACACGCCACCCATTTTCTTGTGCCATGGACATCCAAGCATAGGAATATGGTGCTCCTGTAACCCTGGAATGAAGCGGGAAAACAAATAGGCCTCCTTTTCTCTTTTCCCTTCTTTTCATTATCATCTTCTTTAATTTTCTCCACTCGATTCCAAGCTTGGGCCAGGAAAACTGCGCTGACAAAATATGCACCCCTTGCTTCTTGCAACTCTCAATCATCGTATCCAATGCCTCGCTGCTATGATCATACACTGTGAGGAGCTCTCCGTTGGGTTGAAATTGGAAAGAATCAGCTACAATTTTAAACGCAGATACCTCATTAGCAAAGAAAACAAGGGTGTAATCAGCTTCGGAGACATTCATAAATGCCATGATTTTTTTTCTAATTCCGGATTCTATTTCTGACTCGTGCCCACCGTAAAGAATCTGTGACTGCAAGTTCACTGACTTATAGGATATATCAAAGAAGGAAGGTTCTGATGTCAAATAGGGCAATGATGAAGAAGAAGAAGCAAGTGAAGTTGTGGAGCGAGATCTTTGTTTTTGAGCATAGGAGAAAAGGCCATATCCAGTGTAATCGAAACTGATGTTGGAGTGGTTCAAATGATGGTATTCTTGGGCTCGAATTTGATCAACTTGGGCAGTAGAGGAAAATTGAGGGAATGCTTTAGTGAAGCTAATGTAAGAGTCGTGCAAAGATGGTAGGGACTCATGGTTTGTGAAGTGTGTGTGGGGGTGAAGAGTTGAAGATGTGGCTGCGGCGAAGTCATCGTTTCTTGATGCAGTTACCTTATTATTATTGACTCTAGACTTGGAAGTATTATGGGACTTCTCAGAGACAAGAAGTGGAGATGGGAAACAGCCATTAAAGCAGGGTTGTGATGCTTCTTCAGCGCGAGATGGGTGCATTTTGGTTCTTTGGACTTGGTCGTCTCCTCTACGTTTCAAAACATCGACTTTAAATTTTTGTTGTTAATGCCTAATTCATGCTCACTTCGTGTGGGGGGCGTTTCACCACAAACGTTAATGGTTCTTGCTTCACCTAGCGATAGTACCTTTTTGTACAGTGTGGAGTTAAGTTGACAGTGGCTTGCTGTCACGGTTACACTTCATTCCATAACCAACAAAGTTGGGAGATTCGTGACATATTTATTAGTCAACACGTTGAATTATGTTCTTTCTTATTTTTGGACAAATATCATCCCATGTTTTTAGAATGGTCGTTAAAAAATTACAAATATATTACTTTATAAAAATATATTTTTAATACAATTTAACATAATTTTTAATAAAAAAGTTATTTTAAATTTTTTAGACAATATTTCAAGAGTTCGAAATAATTCCCTTACATTAATTGGGTTAGAGATTACCGTTGAAGATGAATGTCAGCTGTCTAGACAGCTAAGTTTGGCGGGTGCAGGTCCATGTTATCATACGTGGCAATTTCATCTTACCATTAGAGCCCATGTTGGTGAAGATGAGAAGTGGTTGTGGTGTTTTCTTAATGGGACAAAAGGGGTATTGGAAGCTTGAAACTTTGGAGTTGCAATCGTCAATATCAGGAAAAAAATGGAAAAGGGCATGGGCTGTGTTTTTCGTCAGCACTGTCATGTAGACCCGAGTTCTTGTTCCTTTCTCTCTGCGTTTACCTAATCCCGTTTTATTGTCTACTTATGAACTTGTGGTACATATTGTTGTCCCTTGTTATGAGGTTCTAACAGTCATGGAATCTTTCCACTACCACCTGACGGTGGATTAATTTTTCTTATTATCAAATCAACATATAGAATTAATACGAAGCATATATATGATCAACATTGACGCGGTCTTTTTATGAATCTTTTCTTTTCTTAGCTCTAAGTTTTCCATTTTTGCGGTTGGACTGGACACTTTGACTAGCATTATCATGCATTTGGCCTCAATTTCTTGTGTGTGGGGCTCGAATCCTTTGTCCTAATATTATGATACTCATGCAGAAGAAGATTTAACTGTAGATACTCATCATTTGACCCAGTCGTTCATTATGCAGTCCTGTGATTTGGTGATAATTGATTTTGGAGATAGCGTTAAGGCTTTGTAGGTTAGAAATATAAGGACAATACATTGGTAAAACTATGGCTATTGTTTATAATCCTCTTTCACTTAAAATAGGCGTTTCATTTCGGTAAGCTGTAATTAAAATTAATAATAATTAGAATGCCATAATAATGTATACAATTTTTACACAGTTATCTAAATATTATGAATGATCACTTCATAAGGAATAATAATTAATTTAAAATTATATTTATAATTTTTTATTATTGATTGACAATATAAAAAAATTACATTAACGACATATTAAAATTGAAATTTAATTATTATTAAAATTAATGATTTTAATTAAAAATAACCCTAATAATATTCATAACATTATATTTAGTTTTTTCCCTAAATATAATTTACATTACCCTACAACTAGTATAGCCCGTTTAAAAATTGTTATTAAACTCAGTCCAGTCAAAGTACCGAGTTCGAGTCAACGGTATAACCAATTACCAATAAGTCATTCATATAATGCATTCGGATTGTTGCGAATCATGCACATGATCTGACGGTACAAGGAGCAGCACATGACAACATGTTTGTCATAGCGCTCAAATAAATTGAATTAATATAATAATTGGACAGCTAGAGCCCGCAGCTAACACGTCATTTCAATAAATGTAAAATACTACTACATAAAAAATATGATTAACAATTTCACTTTCTTCACACCTAATAAGGTAATATTATCTTTATAAAATAACAAATTTTATTTCTTATTAATAATTATTTTATAATTTCTTGTACACAATTTTTAGAATTAAAAAATTTAATACGATATTTTTATTACTATTAATAATAATATATCAACCAAATGTAAAAATAAAACATTTTTTATAATTATTAATAAAAAATATGTCAAATAAATGGAAAAATAATCCCAATGAAACTAAATAAGAAGTGAGATTTGAACTCAGATTGAAATAACTTGTCTCCTTTGTTATCCTTCAAATTTAAATAACATGTAGTTTAAAAAAAACAATAAATTTTGTTGGATTTCTCGTTCTTCTATCACATTTAGAAGGATAGGTGATTTCGTTCCTAAACTAACTTATGGATATAACTCAAATTTATAATATAATAAAAAATAAATATATTTTTAATTCTTATAATTTTAAGATTTTATGTTTTAAATTTGTTTTATTTTAGTCTTTATTTATTTTTTAAATTTAATAGTTTTAGTCTCTAGTGATGACATACTACAATAAAAAATTAACATGTAGTAATCTCTTAATTAGTCATAACATTACTAAGAACATATGTGTTAAATTAAAAAAAAACTATAGTTAAAATAAAATAAAAAAAATTAAAATTTTCTAAAAATATTACAATTAAAAACATGTTTAAATTTTTTAAAACAAATATATGAATTTTCTCTCCTAAACCACACTCTTTGGGTTCCAAACCTTACTAGGATGCCTAAGGCCTATGTTATTAATCGATTCTAACTCGTTAATAAACAGTCATGATTTTATATACATAGAAATCGAATTAGTAGGTTAAACGATGATATTTTACTTCCAACAAAATGGATTCTAGACTATATAAATCAAACCCTTGGACCAACTCTATTAGTTCAACATGCAAATAATTTACTTTTATTATGTAAATAGATTTATTTTTTAAATGATTAAATTTAATATTATATAGTTTTTTTTATCTTTTACTTATCTTTTTTTTTTCAATACACTCATCATCCAATAACTACACTCCAAAAGAGAAAAGAAGACAACTAAAATTGTCATCTAAAACTGTGAACAACATTTCCGATTCTAATATATCTGCCTAGATTATGCCACTGGCGACCAACTTAGTATTGAAATGTTCATAACTCTAATACGTGATATCGCCTCCTGCAAAATGAGACAGCAATCTTAATTATTTTGATTTGTCTTTAAATTAAGCTAGTAATAAAAATAGGCCAGAATTAAATCTGATTTGCAAGTAAACACTTACAAGAGAAACTTGCAAGAACACACTGGCCTGTTTGTTGAAAAATGCAATTTATAATATAACTCTTGGGACTCTTTAAGAAAAGAACGATTATTTGCTCAGAGAAAGTAAAGCACTGGTATGAAGAATCTTGAAATGTTAAGCTAGTGTCTACCTGGTCAATTTATATAATTACAAGAACATCTCCAGACATTGATCTTCCATGTATGTGGGATTACTCCTGTCTCGCTGAAAGCTTAAAATTGATTTTCCACAGAACACAGAAGTAGTAGTACTTATTCAAGCATGTCTTTGTAGCTTATATTATCATTAATATCGTTGGAAAGGACTCATTGAGTACTGTGAATATGAATAAGTAAGCAAATGATTTCCAAATACTTAAATTTTTAGAGCTCAAGGATCAAAGGAAAAACTTGCAGGATCTTCAGTAATGTCTACACCTTAATTTGTCAACGGAAGACAATTATTCCTTGATAAAATGGATCAGAACACACCTGCTTTACAGCTTAACAGAAGGATTAATCATTTGTTTCTAAGTTACTTGCTTCCAAGAAATTATGAGGAACACAAGTTATAGAGTTTGTTTCAGCACCAGGGAATTCAAGATTTCTAATTAAATTACTAGTAACATAATACATTACCAGGGAATTGCAATGACATGCATTTACACATAATTAAAAATTAACACAAATAATCAACTATGGTTTGAGATGAATAATACCTTTGATCACACCAAGAAGATTGTGCCTACGATTCAGTTACATTAATTAAGCAAGAATCAGAAGCAGGGCAACTCTCCTTTGGCGGTTGAATCGAGAACTCATGACACTGAAACCACACAAACCAATTAAGAAAACTGATTTATGTATTGTTTGGTGACTCGAGCTTCTGCCAAAGAAGAGAAGCCCCGCAGCTGATTCGCTTAGTGAGAGGTGGTGGTGTGGTTAATTTCTTGATACTAAGCGAGACAGCTCCTAGAGGCATTTAATGAGCTGAAGAAGTAGCATATGCTCTTCAGCTTGCAGCATATGCTTTCAATTTGTAGTGTCATTCCATGCAAAGATAGTTAATTGATCTTTTCTCTTAAAAGGGACCTCCAATTTTTACTCCAATGTTGTAGATTCTTCTTGGCTGGCTTTCTATATCATTCCAACGATGCATGTTTTGGTGATGGATTGAACACTGGAAAAGGGCTGTCAAAGGGGAGAGACATATGCTTTCTTCCTCCTATAAAAAATTGGCAACAATATCATGTCCTTATGGTATATCCCATATTCCCGTGTTATATTCCTTTCGACCTTTTACTCTTATGTTTTTTAATGCTTCAAATTTCTAGTGACTGAAAATTCAAACTATAGCTGTTTGAAAGTTATGTAGATAGACTAGTGTGGATGCCTATATAGTGCATTTTATGCGGACATTTTAAAATACAGAAAAAGATTAGTTAAAAAATATTTAAGAGGAAAATAAATTAATTAATAAAGGGTTCATTTTGTAATAAAATCTAACTACAATATAAGACACTTGCTTTTAGAATTTTTGAGTTTTAAAAAATCTTGAAAATCAACTCTATAAATAGAAACTATTTTGACTTAAAAATATTGACTTAACAAGTGTAACAAAGTAAAAAAGATAAGTGTAACTAATCAAGGGATGATATTGATAAACTATCATTTTATTAATTTATTTATGATATTTTAATTAATTTATAATTAGGATTGATATTTTATTTTTTGAATTGACTAAATTTTACTTAATTTTATTGTAAAGAGTGATAACAGTAAAATTATAAAGAATATTTGTTGAAAAAAAAAACTAGATAAAATTGATAAGAAGCATGAAAGAAGTACTAAGAAAACGAGTATAATTTATCAAGATAAATACAACTTTTGTTCAAATAAGCATGACTTCTGTTGAAATTGAAGTGACAAGGTCGAGCAATTTTCAAGAGAGCATGCTTTATGCTCACAAAAAAGATACTCCCTCTCTAAGGTGTGTTTAGGAGGAGCATGCTCTGTACGTGAGACTTGTATCAGGTAAAAAAAAAAAAGGATTTTTTAAGCCAAATTATTATTATTTTTTAATTCTACATTTTATATAGAAAATCTCTCTCTCCCTCTATAATAAATATACTTGATTTATTATTCTCTCTTCGTATTACAGCCCTAAAATTTGTATTCTAAACTCCTTTCTTTGTTAATCACAAAATTATGTTTTTATCGGAACAAATTAGTCACATACTTTTTTTTCCTCATCATATGTGATTATCAATATTTTATGTTAGTTACTTTTACTTTAATCTTGATGACATTGTGTAACTAAATACTTCTTGTTATCAAATCAAGGTGAATTATAGTAATGTAACTCTTATTAAATTCTAGTTTCATTTTATGATATTTATGTTATTTATCAATTATAATTGTTTCTTTGATATTTTTGAATTGTTCACTCAATGATAAATTCTAATTAACCAATTGATAAACAATTGTATTAATAGATTAATAGAATTAAAAGTTAATTTGAGTTTAAAAGTTATGACGATCAATCTATCATTTAAACTTTTAATTAATTAATTGAATTTAATAAATTTAATATATTTTAGTATTCTTATTTATTTGTTGCTATCTATAATTATCTGGGTGACATATTATAAGAAGTTTGTCATTATTGCACAATCATTATATAGTAATAATAGTCAATTAGATAATCAGTAATTAATTTAATATAATTGAATTAGAGAACACATAGATAATCATAAGATGAAACTTAAGTCTCAAGCTTTTATTCATGTAAAAATAAATTTATCATTTTTTTAATTCTAAAACTTTATTTTAATCCAAACATTTGTAATTATTTTAATTTACTTAACAAAATAATCATAACAGGTGTTTGCTATATAATCTTTGTGGAAATAATACTAAGAGAGTATCAAATATTTTCTTTTATAAATTGACAAGTACATTTGCTCATTTGTTAAAATATTTTGAATTAAAATCTATAACAAATTTTTGGCCACAACAAATTTTTAGTGCCACCGTCGGAGATTGTATTTATCAAAATTTATGAATTTAAAAATTGAGTGCTTAAATTTATAAAACAAAAAATAATAAAAATCTATTTGCTTCCTTCTATCTTCTTTAATTTTTTTATTATAATACAAATCATAAAAATTAAATTGAATATATAAAAAATTAAAAAATAATTATTATTCTATCATTTCTTTTACACTATTTTAAAATAAATTTATTTGTTATATAAAATATATAAAAAAATATGATATCAAAAAATAGTTTGAAATTATCATAAAAATAAAAACTTATACAAGTTTTTATGTGATAAAAAATTATTAAATAAATATAAAATTATATAATTTATTCAAACATACTTGAAGTGATGTTTACTATGTAAAATTTTTCATTTGTAACTAAATTACTTTCTGGACGGTAAGATTCATGCGAAGACACGAGTGTCTTGATATTTCTTACAAGCATATAACAGTCTCTAATAAAAATGCACAAATATACATTATAGAAATAGGATACTTTCCTCTTTCTTTCTCAAATTTAAGTGGGATATATTGCTACTGTTAAGAAAATTGATTCACAACCATGTTTTTATCGAAAAGGTAAAAATTAATAAGACCTAATCTTTCAAATAGAGTTGCAATAGTTCAAATTATGCTCTTTTACAAGAAGTTGTAATAGTACTCATCATAGATTGAGTATAATTATAAGTTATATTATTTAAGTATATTTTACGTATACTATATATCGAATATTTACTTATTACAAAATAGATACCTCATGATCCGTTTAAATACTATTTAATTATTAGTTTTATTTAAACTAATGAAACAAAATCATAAAAAACAAACCTTATAACAAGTCCTTGAGAAATTTAGAGAAAAGATTTTACTTCTGGCAATAGTTTTAACTGGTTCAATTTGAACTAGTTGAACGCCCAATGGGATATGGAGGAGACACTGATTATTCTAGAAACGGAATCACTAAATCACATTTCACGGATTGCTTATGCTTTTCCTTAGTATAAAAAAGAAAAAGTTGTGCCCTCATTTTCACCTTTAAAATTGGCCAATGATTAAAATCCTGTTTCCTTTAAAGCTCATTCCATAGGGTTATACACCAAAGAATATGCAGTCTTTAAACTTTCGATTGTTCGAGCATATATATGATCATTTATTCTTACAAAATTCTTTATTAGTTAAATTATTAATGACATGTTTCTAAAAATTAACTTAGTAGTTCCTTCCAATAAGATATATATCCTAGTTATTATTTAATCATCCTTACAAACCAACCCCCCCCCCCCCAATACAAGAAGTATTATTTAGAGTTTAATTGAAACAAGAAAAGAATATTTCTTTTACCACTGTTGGTTTAAATTCATCAATTACATGAATATTGTTTGATTTCTTATTGTTCTCACTGTAACGTTTCTTCATAAATTAGATTCTCGCAAGAATTGGTTTTTCCTCGGTGACATGATGACACCTTTTGATGAAAACCTCTAACAGAGAAACACTACACAGCTGCTTCTGTTTCATCAGCAGCTGCACCAAGTCTCTCACTCAATATTTTGACTCCCATATACCTGCGGCAAATTAAAAATGTTAATCACTTTTAACATGTAAAAGCAACACACACATAAACAAGATTTATCTTAAGCATTTAAAAGACATGAAAAAAAAAATACAAAATGTGTAATATAACACATAAATTTGAGGGGTCTGGTTAAATTAAGTGATATTATGGAAATGATTGATAATATTATAGTACCTGCCAAGCATCATCACAGTGGCCTGAGGATTAGTTCCGGGAGAGTAGTTAAAGGTGGAACCATCAATAACACGCAAAGCGTCGACACCAAGAACTTTATAGTCTCTATCAACGACTTTGCCAACTTGGCAGCCACCATGGTAATGCCAAATGGTCATGACAGTGTCTTTGCAGAACTGCTGGAGAGACAATGAGGAATTGATGTGTTTGGGCAACAAGTTAACAGGGGAACTTGCGGTCAAGTTCAAAAGCATGGACAGTGGCATGTTCTGGTATCTGAATGGAGAGAATGCCTTGGATTCTATTATCTTTTCCACGGTGCTAAGGCCTTTGACGCATCTCTCTAAGTCTCGTGGATCTTGGAAGTAGTTGAAGGTCACCAACGGGTTATCATTTGGATCACGGGTTCGGAGCTCCAAATGACCCGTTGATATTGGACCCATGATTTTCTCCAGGATGAATCCACCTCTGAAGGCTGCTTCGTCAAGACTCTCCATCATTTCTGTTGCCTTTGCCAGGGCTTCTGCTGTCCTTTGCTTTGGGGGCACCGTGGACAGTTGACCAATCTGCATTGCCATTCATTTTTACATGTTATTGCCACCCAAATTACAAATAAATGGAGTAATATTCTCTTACATTATGTTTGTAGCACTTTTTTCCTCTTTTTTTTTTTTTCTTTTTCTTTTTCTTTCCTGTATTTATTTCATGTAACAATATAGAAGTGTTACTGACCATTATCTTCTTAAATGAAATAATTAAAGAATTAATAAATAAAAAATTATATTAGAGATATGTTAAATTATGATATGTGAATTGATAATATTTGTAAACAAAATTCCTTTTTTTTTAATTCCTTAACCATTTCTTTAAGTATTTGCTAACATTTGTTTAGTTATAATTATAAATGAAATAATTACAATGAGAAGTTGTCTAATCCATAATTAGAACTAGGCATTGGAGAGATTTAAGTAAGTTTGGTTATTTTATAGGTTTAATTTAATCGGGATTGCTAGTTTGTAATTTAGTTATTGCTAAAGTGGAGTGAACTCAAATGAAGTTATTTTAATTAAGTTTAATTTAATTTTCTTCTAAACCTGATTGGATCATAGTCCTAAACCCACATTACATACAAGCAATTAATCTTTATATAGTAATTAATAAGTACGATGTAAGCAGGAGCAGTAAGAATTGCAGTGTACCTTGGGGGAGAACATTCCGTAGTCTCTTGGGGAACCACCGGCAAAGTTTTCACCACTGGCAGCTTCAATGTAGCTCCCAAAATTGGTGATGCCAACAATCTCAATTAGCGACACCTCTACGGGTACAGGAGAAGGCACAAATATGGCGTTCATTGGGTTATCTGACATTCCCTGTCCTACCAATGGTTGCTCCAATGTTATTCTTATGTTATGCCTCTTAAGCTGCTCTGCTGCCCCAATTCCACTCAACATTAGAAGTTGGGGGCTTCCAAGTGCACCCGCCGAAACAATTATCTCGTTCTTCGGCCCGGGCTTCAGGTACGCCTTGTGTCTACGCCCCAATGCATCCCTGAACACCACTCCATGGGCCATGGGCCTTGAAGTACCTGTTGAATTTCACAATTAAAATAAAAGCCCATATATTGATTTTCGGGACATGGGTTCAATTCTCTGAATTTCATGAACGCACCTTTCATTCTAAACAAGATCCTATGCACGGTGGCATGTAAAAGCACAGTGATTCCAGTGGGGTTGGCATATTCCAAAAGATCAGCAGCGGTGTGCCTGTTACCATGCTCGTCAAAGATGGTGCCCCCTACCTTAGTCCCATCAATATGATCATAAGTGAAGCCATTGTTGGGTACCACTCCCACCTCCAACAATCCATCCCGCACAGCTGATTGCCACTGCTGCACCTGTGGCTCAAACGCCACCTTCTTCTCCACCCATTCGTATGATTCTTTCACTGTCCTTTCATCCCAACCCGCTTCCCTGACAATGCACATCTATATAATTAGCCATGTGTACGCCCACATAATTTAGATCCTATTTTTATATCTCCTTACCACTTTATCTCTGATCTTCTCTAGATCTACTTTCGCTTTGATAATATCATAAATTGAGTCAACGAGTAAAACATGAATACATTTTCATCCTATTAAGTTCATTAAAATAGATAAAATATAATTCCAATTATTCGACCTCACCTTTATTGGATGTTACGAAACTAGTACATGCATAGTATGATAGTGCTTGATTATAGAATTACAAGTGAAATCAGTCTTTCTTCGGTGGGGGCTTTGGTAGCAGTTGGAATAAAGACGCATTTACATGAAAATTTAATGTGAAATATAAGATAAAGTCACTTATTTGTGCGGTACAATCATCAGTCCAAGTGACACATTACCATATCTATTTCTTCTTCTTAGTTCATAATTTTTTGAAAATAAAAGTAATAAATAATAATAGAGTATTCCATAAAAATTGAAAGAACATATTAGTAATTAGTATTACGATGCATGATATTATTGAATGTTTACTAGTTTACCTTAACAAAATAAATTGATTATTAAAGAAAGATTATTAGAATGGAAACGATAGTAGCGTACCTGACATATTGAGGGCTAGCACGAGTGTAAAAGCCAGCGTTCAAACAACTACCGCCACCAAGGACTCGAGCTCTTGAGTTGATGACACCGTCTTGAGAGATGAAACGCTGAGCGGGAGAGGTAGGGGATGTGTCAGAGAGGGCAGCACCAAAGGCTCCTAAGTTTGTGATGTTGGGGTTGCCATAGGGTGACCCACCGCGTTCCAACACCAACACGCTGTAATTTTGGGACAGAGTCGCAGCTAAAGGGCAACCTGCTGTGCCTCCTCCTATTACGATGTAGTCATAGTGTGAAATGTTTGCTGCTGTCGTTGCATTGTGCATAAATCTGTAGTTTGGAACTGTAAAATCCAGTACAGGACAATCTCAGAAACCACTGTTAGTATTCAAAAATAATCTCAAAGGATTTGAGGATTGCTCATTTTAAACTTTGAAATATTAAAATCTCATAACAGTCTCTAACCGGGCAAAATCACATTTATTTTAATTCTTTTTAATGTAAAATGATAGTAAAAAAATGAACTTAAAGGAATTTAATATCTCATGAACTCAATTGTTTGCACCCTACTGTTGCCTTGTTAAACAACCCTACTCTTTTCTCTCAATCATCCATATCTGTTGTTTTCTGCCTCCGCAACATTCAATAGAACTACATCAAACAATTTCTTATTTTTCATCTCCGATTGTCTAGCAACCCATCTCCACTGTGATATCATCCATCAATATTTATTCATTTTGTACCTTATATCGAATTATCTGAAAATATAATTAATTGAAATTTTAGAGTACGTTGTTTCGTTTTTTGACTTCTTGAACTGAACTTTGCCTATACTCCTCTCTCTCTCTCGCTCTCTCGCTCTCGCTCGCTCGCTCGCTCTCTATCTCTCTCGTATCGTATCATATTTGTGGTTGCTCTTGGTTACCCTCTTGACAATATTTTTTTATCTAATTAGCTAGAAAAAATGAGTTTTGTCAATACCTCTGTTTTCATGAGTTGAAGGGTTACTGGTCCTTTAAATTTTGTACAATGGCCATTAGACAAGCTAAATGATTCAATTCTAGCAAGTTGTGATCAATTCGTGTCAAAATCTATTCTTAGAAGTTCGAACCCATATCTAAATCTATCTGCAGTGACCCACATTTTAAATCAAAACTAGTGATAAGCGGTGGTCACTGTTTTGAGTTAGTGATCAATACAATCATTGTATGTAGTGAGGTGTTGCTAGGTTGCTTTTTTTTTTTTTTTTTTTTTTTTTTTTTTTTTTTGTAGATGCAGTAGTCAATAATGGAGAAAAATTGTTACGGTGGTGAAATGATAAAGATATGTTTTTTTTTGTAATTTTTCTAAAACACTATATTTGGATTATTTATTTATTCAATATAAAAAAAATGACCCTCACAGATAAACTGAAGTTTTCCTTTTCGTCTTTCTCGTTTTCACTGAGCTATGATAAAGCAAATGTTTTCCCTGTTTTTACATCTTTGGTTAAAAAGTAAAAAAAAAAAAAAAAAACAGACAAATATTGGGGCATGTCAAAATCAAGATTCAAACCCAGCTGCTCAGTACACACCCAACAACACGAGAGCATTCTTCAACCGTCCCATTTATTTAGGATATCTTGACAAAAAAAATTATCTAGGATATATTTTTTCAAAAAATTGAGACTTTAACTTTAGGTTGAAAATAGGTTTTATTTATTTAGTTAGTTTATGTTTCTACTAATTTGGATGTGTTTAATTAATACAAACTTATAAATTGTAATTTATTTTACAGCTTACAACTTATTTAAAATTGTTTGATGAACAAGAAAATAAAGAAAATTTGTAGCTTTTAAGAATTAGTCTATGAAAAACTATTTTAAGTAGTATTCAAGTTATTGAAAGTTAACTATTAATTTTTTTCTCATTTTTATTCTTAATTATTTAAATAACTTATGTGCATACAAAATAATCTTAATTCATTCTATCTCTCACATAGAAACATCTTCTCGGTTCACACTCTCATTTTTTATTTTTCATTCAAATAAGTAATTGATATTAAATACAAGATAAGAATTAATGAATTAATTGTAACTAAATAAAATATTTAATTATCTAAGTTAATGATTCATCATAAATAAATAAATTATTAATTTTAATATTATATTTATATAATATTACATATTTTTTAGTTAATTGTATAGTTAATTTTACTAAACAGTTTTAATTTGATAGACTAATTATTATCAACTATAAGCTTTTAATTAACTTATTAACTATAAATTGTAAACTTTCAATTAATTTAAAAAAAACATACAATTATAATAAGCCCCATCTCTTTTATCACTTTCTTTCTTAAAACCCCACTTATTTAATAAGAACATATTTTTATCATATTAAAATTCAATATCAAAGAATCCGTACACCTTTTCATTTGTTTGTGATTTTAATATACTCTTAAATTAACATATCAATAAAGTTTTGAGCCTTGATAGTGAATATTTTATGAACAATGCTGTATATGCATATGTATAAACTAAATATATGTTTTAGTTTACGGTAGAAACTGAATTCCTTCAAGATGCATAAATATTAAAGTAATATTTTTCTTAATACTATTTTTTTTCACACACAACCAAGAGAGCATTAATTATTAATTATTATATTTGAGAGATTTAACAATTTGTCAATTGGTGAAAGAATATTTTACTTATTCTATTAAATACTTTTAATTATTTTAAAAAGTAATAATAATTTTTTCATATGATAAATATTTCTTTAGTTTGTATTTTTTTTACCATCATTTTTTAAGAAGTCCTAGTATAATAGATAAACTTATGCTGCGTCCATCATTATCTTCAGATTATATACTCTGCTAAACAATGGCCGCGTGCTAGTTAGTTGAGCGTATTTATGTTCATTGAGTTTCTCATTGCTTCAATTATAACACTTGAAGAACTTTTCTTGTTAGCAAGGACACAACAGTTAATTAGTTGAAATTGTATTCTGACTATACTAACTTCAAATACTGTTCTCACGTGTAACACGTGTAAACTTTACTTGATAGAAACATACTCATGGCTGCCACAACAAAAATTTCTTTCACCATTATTCGGATATATTTAGGAGTTGAGTTTCCGACAAGACAAAATAAAGATAAATATTTTATTTTTAAATTTAGACAATTATATAATATTTATAAAATTAAATAAAAATTAGGATATGCAATTTATATTAATATATTATTTTAAAAAAATTATGAAATTAAAATATTAATTAAAAATAAAACTTTATCTTTCTCCTTTTTTTTCTTCAAAATTTAACTAAACATTTTATTTTATTTTTTATCATATACTTGTTTCTCTTCTCTTCTGTCATGAAATATGTTTTACTAAAATAACATTGGCTCTTACGCTAAGGCAAAGAGTCCATCCACACTGAAAAATTCATAGCATCACTATAACTCACCATCATCATTTTTTTATAAGTCATAAAATATATCAATGCTTTTAATAAGAATTATATTTTAAAAAATATAATTATATTTGATTAAATTGTTTTTCACTGTACCAGGAAATCTTAAGTATATTAAACAAAACTTGATTCTTAGCTGTGTCTGCATTGTATAAGCTTCGTTAGGAGAGGCAGTCTCTGCGGGTGGATATCCTTATTGCAAATTAGAAAATTATCTTTGAAGTCAATCTTTTTTCATTCTATGTAGTAAAATTACAAGAGATAAGAATAAAACCAACATAAAAAATATCTTGAAATAGTTTTAAAACACATAATTTAAATAAAATCAAAATATTTACTAATTACTGAGCAAATATAATGAGACAGCATATGGTACTTGTTTGAACCTGCAATGTGCAGTGTGTAGTTGAAATCGTTTAATGACGAAAAGAGAGCAGAGGAGGATGAAGAAGAAGAAGTACCTTTTTGGGAAGCACAACGCAGAGGAGAGAAGAGAATAACAGCAAGAGCAGGAAAAAGCAGCGTCCAGCACCAAACAGCCATTGTACTTAGAAGTGAGAGAGTAAGTGAAAGAACCCTCTTTCCTAATTATATAAAATTGAAATCCCAACGATCATGACGGCCATACTAGTGTGGTTGCTGTTGTGGGGACGTGGGACCCGCGCGTATAAAGAGTAAAGAAAATGCACAGATTTTGATGTGTAAGTCCTTTGCCTCGCACATATATAACATCAATTAAACATTATAGAACGCATATTTTGGCAGACAGTTGGGTTTTTTAATTGCACCTAATAACTGCCTGTGGCCTTGGTTCACGGACAACTTGCTTTATTATCAAATATTATAATCTTTCAATTAGTTTTTCTTTTATGTTTATATTGGAGGAACACACGAAAAGATAACTCGTAAACATACATAAATAACTTGATTCTTCTCAATTTTTTAATTGCAAATTGTGGGCAAACTGTAACTTTCCCTTAATTTTCAGATATGATTGAGAAAATGCATGTAAAGAGCTAATGTTTTATGTATTAATACTTGTAAATATAAATGAAATATCAAAATACATGTAGTTAAAGTTCAGCTTTAAAAATTAAAAAATAATTATAAAAAATTAAATAGAAACACACCATACCAACGACTATATTACTGTAACTTAATTAGTAATAAGTTTATTGTCTACGCGATCCTATTTAACTTAAGTAATATTATTTTAAATAATATATATATATATATACACACACATATAAGTGAATAAAAATTAACTAAAAATAAAAATTTTATGATTATTATAATGATAAAGTTATATTTTTATTATTTAAAATAATTATATTTATTGAAATAAAATTTATATTTATAAAAAAATAATAAATTTAATTATTTTTCTTAATTTTATTGATTTAGTCTTTTATTTTTTATAAAAAAAATGGAAGGGAATAATATAGAAGATGTAAAAAAGATATTAGGAAATATAATAAAAGATAGAAGGTACTATTTGTTAATCCATACTCCTAGAATATTAGTTTAAAAATAAAAGTATTACATACTTATAATATATTTTGAGTATAATTTTTAATAAAAATATTTATTCATTATTATTTTTTATGGATACCCTTGATGGAAAATTTAAGTAACAACCAAAATGGAAAGAGAAAATAGTGGAAATTATGAGAAATTAAATTGACGCTCTAATTTTGGAGGCTCATTAAAGCCTTGAAATTTGAACGTTGAATCCGTAATAATTGAAGTGTCTGAGAGGAAAGATCCATAATGGGATCCAACGCCCTCAGTTATGGGTAGCTAAACTGAACTCAAATAAAGCCTACCAAAATTGAGGTACCTTCATTCATCTTCCCTGTATTGTTGCTGTAGGGACATGTTATCTCCCCCAGCTCACTTTTCACCACATTCCATTTATACCTTTTTAAATAAAGAAATTTTACTAAATTTTTAAACAGCAGGAGAAAGGAGAGAAAGAAACACTATTTCCTTTAATAAAATTGAGGAGAAAAATATACAAAAATTTATATAATTTAATTTAACCCAAAATTTTTATATTTTTCACTATAATATTTTTAATAAAGAATTTGTTTTTCACTCCTTTAATATTTGTTTTTATTATATGTATTATTGAAAAATTAGCATCGAAGAAATCAAAACCGATGAGCCTCTCTCCCTTTTCTTCTTCTCTATCCAACGCCCAAATAAAACTTAAGAGACACAATCTAAGATGGTTGGGGTAGTTAGTTAATGGATAGCGAATTTAATTAATAACAACATTAATTGTATTAGAAAAATGACACGTTGACCTTTAAAATTGATTTTATAATGTTAAAAACAGTTTACTTTTATCAATTATTTTAGAATAAATTACACGCGCATTATACTTTCTTCTATTTTAAAATAATATAATAAACTTCTTTCTTTAAATAAATAAAATGCATCATAATTTATTGACAAAAAAGAGTGTAAAATTATAAAATTTAAGTACTTAAAAACTTGATGGCAACAAAATATTAAGATTACTACTATGTCATTTTTCGTAGTGATATATTGAATGGCTTTACAATGTCTTATGTATCTGAACATTGGTTATAGAAAATTTAATATTTTACATGACGTACTCTCAATCATTTTAAAAAATTGTTTAATGATTTGTGTTTTTAATATAACTAAGAATTATTATATTTTTACTCTTTTTAATGTAAACTATGTAATTTTAATTCTATTAGGGTTAAAACTAAGCTAATTTACTTACTTTATTGATTTTTTTACTTAAAAATTCTTAAATTATAATTTTTTGTCTAAATAATTCGACGGTTTGTGATATATTTATGATAAAAAATAGTTTAAAGTACTTAGAAAAAAATATTGAAATGTGAAGAACTTATAAAGCATGAGCTTTAGGTTTGAAGAAATAAATTTTTTATTTATTTTAGTTTTACTAAAATTTGATGTTTTAGTTACTTAATTGACCAAAATAATGTTTAAAACGATTTGATTTATAAACAAAATCAAGTAAAGAAATACAAATTTGAGTGCTTTCAATAGAAAAATCAAATTTATTTAATTATAAAAATATACGGTTTAATTAAATAAAAATTAATATTAAAGAGATCAACAAAATTACCTATAATTCAAATTAAAAGAATTAAGGATACAATTAACTTATAATTAAATAATTCATTTTTATTAATTTTATTTTACTTTTGTTTTCTTAACTGTATGTAGTTGATAACAGTCTCACTTAATTCTTTTATAAACAGAGTCGATCATGAACCCTTCTTTTGGACTTGAGTCAACTCCGTTATTTGTGACATTATACATACCCTTTAGATATGATCGGTAGGGTCTACTGCACAACTATTCACCAGTTCTTCTAACAACGAAATGGTGCTGTAGAGGTCCTTTTGTCAAATATATACATAGCTTTTGAATGGATTGTACATAAAATATTCTGCACGAATATAACTATAAATGTAAAAATACAAATCTGTTACACATTCATTTTCTATGAAGTCTATGAAGTAAGAATTGGCAGCATATTTTTCTTTCCGGGAAATTAAAGTGTAGCATTCATATATTTCATTTAAATTTGTGAAGGGTACGAACAAACTGTACGGTTTTACCAGTTCCTCGATGATGGATCTTTGTCTAACTTCATATATACTTAAATAGACTCAGGCATGTTGGAGAAAGGAATAGAACCTGAAAGCAAAAGAAATTAAAATTAATGTGTAAATTGAATAAAAAATTCAAAGTTTCTAGGTCATTCAGTTTTTGGTAAGCTTTCAACTTCAGTTTTTATAGCCTTTGAAATATTGAATACTAAATAAATGTTAGAAATTCAAAAGTTCAAAATCAAAGCGAAAACAAACATCTAATTTAGTAGCCTTTCAATTCGCACTAAATACAGATTCCGATTGCAAACGAAATTAGCCGTCAAACAATAATCCACAGTTACAAGAGAGGTCTAATATAGATAAAGTACTGAGAATTGACCAAAAAAATTTTAAGTACTGAGAATATAACTGACCGTTCAGCAGACTTCCTTTAAAGAAATTAATAAGGGAAAGATTATCTTTTAACTTTCATTTGACGGTCAAAAGAGTTAAATCAAGTGTAGAAAACTTACAATGTGCATGGAATCGTAGGAATTGATTTAGCACGTGTTTACTTACGCGTTCTAACTTGTCGTACGCATGTTCAATCTATCACTGCTCTTTGCTGTGTTAAGGATAAATGTGAATATAGTAACATCTAAACATAGAATAAAACATGCACTTAGTTCGTATAAAATAAGACAAATTTATTTTCAGAATAAAATACACTACTAATCGTTGATTTTGTAATTGTAACTAAAAACTTTAGAGTTTGTTATAAATATAGCTAATTTTATCATAATCGCCTTCAACTGTTAATTTTTTTATTAACTGTTGTAAACACTATTTTATTTTCTGAAGTGTATCCCTTGCTCGGAGGACTGTTATAATCATAAGACAAATTTCAAGTGTCGCACATACCAAAAAATGGTACCAAAACTTCAACTATGGTTGATGGAATTCCCCAGCCATATTTCTGCTCATGTGACAATTTCTAAGAGACTCGTGTAAGAAAATACAAGATGACATAACTTGATGCATAAATAGTAATGATTCAAAGAGGTATTGCCTGTTAGGTGTCCTATGCGAATTACAAAAGCATGGAAATACTGCAACAACGGAATTTTCTCTAGGTGCCTGAATATAGAAAGGCATTCAGAAGAATTTTCTCTACCTGCCATTATTGAAGGCAACAAAAACCGAAAAACAAGTGAATTTTACATTTCAAACTACTAGGAATTACATTTAGGCATATTCCCTAAAATGATGCTAGCTAGCACATACCACAAAGAAAATTCTTCAAAAGAAGATACCTCATTTATAACAATGATCACAGGGTTTGACATATTGATAGCCTTGCTTATACCCTCTTTGCATTCAATGGATTGGTTCCACCTTTTTCTTTCCACACTTATGTTTCTGTTGTATCACTTGACTGGACCACGGGTAAAATTTACAAGACCAAGTTGAATTTAAACAAATGCTGTCCCAAAACTGCTATGTATCAATATAAAATTTACATTGAGACGTTGCATTATATTAAGAATAAAAACATATTCACATAAAGCTTGCACTTCACTTCATGCACAATTACCGTACCCTTCTCCTTTTCATTGACAGACTGCTAGGCCATTCCAAATACTTTTCTATGACCAAATGAAGATTCTTAAAGTTTATAGATGCCATAAAGAAAATCTTTCTAATGTAAGATTCTACAAAAAAAAAAAAGAAGAAGGAAATTTTATAAGCATGGAAAACAAGAGTATCATTGGAAAATCCAATCAACTCATGTTCAAGTGATATTGATTATAGAGTCGTTGTATAAAGTCACAATTGAAATTACAACTTACAACATTAACAATCAACATGGTATATGCAACAAATAAAATAAAAAGTATTCAGTGTAGTTTGAAAGTGAATTAAAAATTTAGAGGCGTTATTTATTCATCTTGGTATTCCCAAAAGCAGGAAGGGTTTTATCTTTATTCAAAATTACCAATTTCTTCAATATTTTTTAAATGGGGACAAAAATCCTCCATTTCCCCTTGGCAAAGTCAAAGTTAAGCTAGTCAAATCCGATAAATAGAAGTCGGGATTCTTCTAATTGACTTATTGCAGTAGCATTCTGAAAAACCAAAGAAACTGACAGATGCCATCATGTTGTTCACAATAATACCCGACACTAGCATATAAAGGGCAAATACTAGGTTTGATTGTTTGAGAATACTTTAGGGCTCCACGCACTTGCTAACTATGTGGTAGTATTAACAGGAGTAAACCAATCTTTTTCTCCAAAGATTCTACTTTTATTATCTTGCCTCAGGCAATAATTTCCTCCCAGCAAAAGAAGCAGCCGAAGCAGGCAAATAATAATATATAGCAATGCATTCAAGGAGTAAGACACTGTCAAACAAAACTAAGCCAATATAGCCACAGTTATTACCCACCAAAGATTCACAGATAAGGGAAAAGGTGAAAGTTCATAATATAGGATGTCCTAAAACTGATATTTGTCTTTACTGGCAGCAAACAGATTCCGCTTATGTAGAATAAATAAGATGGTTATGGCCTTGTTACAACCATGCATGGATAGTTTTCAAGTAGAACCTAGGAGAATTTTCACTTACACAGCATGTCTTGTGAGTCTTTTGGACATGACTTTTAAAAATATACAGAACAACTTAAAATCACCCAGAAACTAGAAAATGAGCCATATAAGGACCAATATGATTTTTCTGATGTCACTCGTACTTTTTAATTTTTAATAAATTTCAACTAATAAATAAGAATGTGTTAAAATATATTCGTCACACTCAGCTATAACCATTATTGCTGTGTATTTTGTATATATCTGTAGTGACTAATGAGCACTGCTTGCTTTGATCTCAATTCTCTTTCCTAATATTTTCCTTTATTCTCTGGCCACTTGCTCACCAGTACCCCATATCTGTCATTACTTACAAACACATTAGCTTAGGACTATTAATTTTATGATAAAAGTTTCATAACGATTGTGTTAAAATATATCAAGTTTCTGATTAATATTCTTATTCGAATTTGAACTCATCCCTCAAATATTTATCATCAACACGTCTAACGTTACAGGATGCTCCCTGGCTTGCTGTTGGAAAAGATGCATTCCATTTGGTTTCTGCCAAGTCCTAATAGCACTCCAGCTGTCAAAGAAAATCATGTAGGATATGGAGAAGAAAAACACCATAACTAATACCAAAATTTCCCTCTAATCGTTCCAAAATTTAGCCTCCCATATCCCCAAGATAGGGACAAGGGACAAACACAACTAATACATAAAGCAGAGAAATTAAAAAAAAAAAAAAAAAGCTACTTGAAGCATCTCATCTTGCTACTTGCTAGCACGTGTCATGAGGTCAATCAAGTAGAAGCTCGTTAACCAAATCAGCAAAGACCTCATTTTCTAGTTCCAGAACCAAGTGTTGTATATCTTGACCATAGTTTTTCCACTCCTTACACTTGTCCATCTCCCTAATGTAGACGCACCTTCCTCCTTGCACTTCCCAACCCAAATACAGTTCTTGGGCTTCCCCATGTATCCAATCCTCCGCTACCTTGCAAAGGTGAAGCTTCTTTGAATGATCAATATCTTTGTTTTCCTCAATGCTCTGCTTGAAGTAATCAAACAACAGGTTCTCTAACTCAACTATTAAACTATTGGACGAATTTGACCATTTAACGAGGCTGAGAAGATCACGCGCATTCTCCTCTATGTTGTGATGTCGCACGTTGTTGTTCCCATTTTGGGTGCGCATAATTGGCACTGATACTGAACATTGTTTTGTAGAATGGTTGTGCGATTCATCCTCCAACTCAGACCATGCAAACCTTTTCTCTAAAGCCACCGGTTCCAGTGAAGCCAAATTTTTAAAATGTCGTCTTTTCTGCATATGTTTGTGTTTGGCTCCTGTAATTATATCATATATAAATACTTTCATTTGTCAGATGAGCAACATGTATTATAAAATGGAATTGAATTTTGATGACATTTTGTTGTTGAGAGGATTATCAAGGCGTTACCTTCCAACAAGGAACAAGTAGTGGAAGTGGAATTGAAATGAGACTTGTGGCACTCTTCTTCATCAAATGGCCAGTCTAGTATCGATACAGGACTAAACTGTTCCTTCTCATTCGGCCAATCCTATTTCAATTCACAAATCACATTTCATTTGAGAAAAGGAGATGAAAGCTTTTTACAGATACAACTTACAAGCCTTTCTTTTTTGAGTGATATATACGAACAACCTTTACTATTCAAAACTAACTTCAACTAACGCTGTACTAAAGCTTTTCAATAAGATTCATTTTAAAGTTTAAGTGTTCTCTTAACGAATGTTTGTTGAGAAATTAATAATTAATTTTTATTTAAATTATGATAAAAATGTATTAGTTAATTTATTAATAGTCTTTTTAAGGTATTAGTTAATTTTTAAATATTAATATGCTATTACTAAATTATATACTATCAAATCATTAAAATATATACATGACTTAATTGTTATAAGCACCCTTTGAATAATAATATTTTTATTTTTGGGTAATGTGAGAATTTTATATTGATAACTTTATCCGTTAAATATAATATATAATGTTTATAAACATAAACACTTTTTTTTATAATAAACATAAACACTTTATTTTAAGGATAGTTGACTGAAAATTATTTTAGCTTATATTTGAGTGTCGGTTATGATCATTTTACTATTTAAAAGACATTGATTGCGTTGAAATTAAGGTTAGGTTTGTTCTAAAGAGGCCTTTCTGTAATTTCTTTTTCAAATAACAAAATACTTATTTTAGTTCCGAAATATTCCCTCCATATGACCATAGCATAGATTTAGCAAAATGGAGAAGAAATTACTCATAAAATAAATAAAAGACATGTGGCCTGTGGGTAACGATAATTAAGAAAATCGGCCAGTCTAAGATAAGTTATATTTAATCATTTCATAAGCAAATGATTGGATTAAAGAGTATTGAATGTATTTAGAAGAGTTTCTTAAAAAAATGATAAAAATAAATTTTGATTCTTACAATTTTTAAATTTATTCAACTAATTTTTAAAACAATTTATTAAAATAAAAAATTTATAAGATAAATATTTATTAAATAAATACTTAATTAATTATTATCTACATGCGCTTAAAATGATTAAGTTTTAGAACTTACAAAGTTGAAAAGTAATGACAGTGAATCCTTCGATTTAATGATCTGTGACTTACTTGAAAAATAGTTATTATATGAAAGTTTAACATTAATTTGATATTTAAAAACTTAAAAATGTTTAATAATAAAATATATTAAATGTTGTACTTTCGAGTCAGGGTAAACCCGACCATACACGTTCAAAATTCAAAGCAGCCACGCACTGAAATAAGTGTATTAGGAAGGTAAAAAGCAGGGTATCCTCTGCCGCCACGCCGAAAAACATTAGGTTTAAAGCAGCTTTCCTATTTTTATGCCAAACAATGGTTGAGTTAAATAGGGTAATTTTTATACAAATAAATAATATTTCATATTATAATGTATTTTTTATTTAACGTTTTTATAATCAAATTAAAAAATATATAACTAATATATTAGAATTACTTTTAAATTTTTAGATATATCCTTAATTTTTTTATTTATTTACTGTATTTATATTTCTTTTTGTGAAAAATAATTAATATTCTCTTGATTTCTAAAATAACAATGAAAATAAAAAAATATTTAAAGGAATAGTTCAAAATATGAAACTGGTATTATTATTTATTTATTAAAAAATAGCATAACTTAGAAATATAAATATTATATAACTGTTTACGATAATTTTTTTAATATTTTTATACAATATTTACAGAGTCAGTAGTTGAAGTGAGTTTCAGCGCCGTGCAAGGCGCTTAAGGTCAACAGAGCCTTTGGAGGACTCATCCTAATTAATTGCGTGGTGCAGAGTATTATAGTATTCCCCAAAGTACACACTCGGCACGTGCAAATGCAAATCTATCAACAATGCCAAAATCCACCATCTCTTTACGTAACATTTTTTAGTCCAGGACTTTGACGAGCATAATTTACTTTCAGAAGTTAGTTTGAAAAAATTTTCCTTCTTCAATTGTACATTAATCGTATGTATCTTAAAAAAGTAGAAGAATTGAATTTGGAAATTACTTACTATGGTGGTGACTCCGTCGATCTTGTGATGTAGCGAACCCTCTTTTGTGCCTTGAAGTTGAACTGCTTCACTGTCGTTGGAGATCCCAGAAGAAGTAACAGTAGACGCAAAAGTGAACTCGCTTTCTCCCCAGCTGTTACTGTCACAACCTGAAGATGCGGTGAAGCTTGGAGCAGCGAATACGGTATCCTCCTTAAACGACGACGTTTTATCACGCTCCTTTTCTTCCATAATGAGGTCGCGGAAAGATGTTCTTCTCCTTCGCACGCCCTCGCTTTCCTCTTCCTTCGCTGTTTTTCTCCAGAACCTTCTGCTCAACAGCTTCCTCGAGAGGCTTCTAGAAAGAAGACCTTTTTTGGCTTTTGCGGATAATGGCAGTGCCTTGATGGCGTTCATTACAGCTTCCGAAGCTCTCTGCAGAGCCGAAACGGTGGAAAAAGAAGAGGAATCATGTCGTCGTCGAGGACGCGTGTTCCTCTTTTTGCGTTGAAGTTGGAGATCTTTCTCCTTGAGGAATCCCACGGTGGTGCAGCATTGTCGCCGAGGGAACGATTTGAAACCGCTCGATGAACACGAGCTTAGGTCGTCCCTTAGGTAGTCCTTCAGCAGAAGGGATGACGCATGTTTGCCGCAACTTGAAGCCATATACGTTTGGTTTCGAACAACGGTCTTAAAGAAAAAATTGTATGTTTTATTTGAACAAATTTAAGGTAGGGACAAAGGAATGGGAACAAGCTCGTAGCATATAGTTATCAGAGAGACACAAAAAGATGAAAGCAACAAATTGCAGATGTAATTAGAGCCACCCACATTGAGGTTGATAATTACAGATTGTGATTTATATATTGTTAAGGGCAACACAGCGGGGAAAGTGTTAAGAAGTTTCGGCAGTGAAGATCTCAAATCTCAATAGTCTGTGAGATAATTATATTAATTAAAATTAGTGGGAAACAGACAAATTAGGAGATTGAAGTGAGAGAGGCTAAAATGAATCAAAATGTTGTGAGAAGCAAGAAAGAAGAAACCGGGATGCTTCTTTTCTTAATTCATTATTCAAAGTGCATGCTTGATAAAATTTTAATCTCAGGAGAAGAGATTTATTTATTATTATTAGTTCAATTTGAACCTTGTTGTGTATTAAGTTGAGTAAACAAATGTGATACTACCTGCTTTGGACTGCAAATAGACCTGTTCTTGACCCTTTTGGAGTTTCTCTCCACGCGCACAGGCACGTGCCCACATGTTTGTGATGATCTACTCTAGTTGACTTCCAAGTTCCAACAACAATCTTATTTTTTCCTATTTATTTCCTAATCCATGTTTCAGTTTTAAAACATTTCACACATTTTAAATATTCACCAACACATATGAACCGGGATATAAGACACTTTTTAAGAAAAAAACCATTATATTGATAAATTTAAATTTGTTAACTCACAAATATTATCATATTATATATTAGTTTTTTATTTTTTTGTTTCTTTAAAATAATAAATTAATTGTTTCAGAGTTAAAATAATACATCCTTTATTAAAAAGGTAGTTAAAATTTAAAAAGTTACATTTATGATTAGGTGAGTCTTAACAAAATTTTACACGTTTTCCTTTGTTGTCACTTTTTTAAAAAAAATATTTTTATTTATTTGTTATTTTAAAAATAATTAATTATTATTTCTAAATTATATTAATCAACAGTATACATCTGCATAAACCAAACACTAATAAGTGAAAAAAAATTTAATAAAATTATTCACTGTTAATAGATAAAAAGAAAAAAAATAAGAATAAAGAGAAATATGAAATAATTTTTCATTAATTGCCCTCAGAATTATAGATTAAAGAAAGGTTTCTATTAACTGCTATCTAAGTTAATGTTACAAAAACTCATTTTTAACGTAGTAATAAAATATTAAAAAATTATATATAATTTAAATTTAAATATTTATAAACTGTCCATTTTGTATAAAAAATTTAAAATATTAATAACGCACTCTTTATTTAACATTGTTTCACTTAATAGTGTTTAATTTAGTTTACAAGACTCAAACTGTGGTCTACATAAAAGTTATAGTAGACAAACTTTTACCTCAACTACGATTTAAAATTTTCTAGAAGTCAAAGCAACAATATCGCTAATAATTTTGTGTTGTGTAACCATTGTAACAGGTTTGACATGAAATTAAAAAGTTTATTATATGAGCTTTTTTTTTTTAAATGGTGATAGCTGTTACTAATATATATATTACGTGCCTACAATATTAGATGAGTTAGTACACCAACTAATACTCCCTCTTGCATGTAGGTTACAATATCGAGAGGCATAATCCTTTTCCATTAACTAAAAAAAATCTTATAATTGGTACAAAGTAGTGTAGTTATTTTTCATCATCTTTATTTATTATTCATTTTTTTTCATATATTTTCGCTCATATATACTATCATATTTACAAAAATCATATAAAAGGATTTAATTTAATGACTATTGTAAATGCAATGATGAGAGTCTAAGACTTGAAGAAAACCAATGCCTAAGGACATAACTTCTATGTTCAAACCTTTTCTAATTTAAACGTTACGAGCTGCGCCTACAAGATTTTGTGTTCAGGACAAGTAATATCCAGGAATTGAACAGTAGCAGAGGTGGTTGAATTTCCGTTGTTACTTATCTAATGCCTTAAATTTCTTTGATAAACTCGTTTCATGCGTGTGATGAAAGCTTTGTTTCGTGCTGCATGTGAATCATGCACTCATCCTTGTACATAACAAAGCTATTGTTTATCGCTGGACGATCGTGTTAGCTCCTTTCGGTAATTGATAAAAGAAGCTATGTTTGTACATTTTGAAAGGTGTCTCTTTTATTTTTATTTTTTTAAAACATGTTTTTTAAGATATGTTTAGGTTAAAAAATAAAAAATAAAAAAAGTATTCGTTTATCAATTAAAAATTAATATGAAACTACAAACACCGTATAACGGGAAAAGCTAATTTTTGAACTTTTATTACTCCTCCCCCTCGTCTCTGTCTTGGTACTCTTGGTATGTGAATTCCTTGGTTGTAATTCGTTCCTAATTATGTACAAAACCAAAATCGAAGAGGAAGACTGACAAAAAATTATTAAAATATATTTAAAAACCCGTTAAAATTTTAGAAATATAAATTATAAAGCAAAAATTATAAGTAACAGCTAAACTGAACCAAAAAGTGAAATCAAACTGAACAAGTTACATATACAGGTGAAGCCTAAATTGCATACATATGTGGAGATGATCAGACGGTGAAGGTCCACAAGGACACCTCAGCATCATCTTCCACAACGTCCCAGTCCCTACTGTATCTTACAGAAGGAGGAGGAGACCTTAAAGGCTCATCAGCCATACACCGAAGCCAATCATGCAGGTCCTCAAATTTCGTTACACGTGGCACTTCATCCACATTATGCAGTGACAATCCCTGCAAGGCTCCAGTATTGCCATCTTCACTTACGCTGACGCCACTGCTGTTAACTTCACAATCAGCAACGCCGTTATTCACACTCTCATGCTCACCGGCAAATACCATCGCAGCCTCCGCCGCCACTCTCCTTATCTCCTTCGCATTGGTCGACGCCGGCAAAGGAAGCCGCCACGCCGAATCGGCGAAGTTGAGGCAAGCCGACTTTCCCCGAAGCGTAAGCGCCGCCACGTCGTGCGCACGTGCGGCCATTTCAGGCGTTGGGTATGTTCCCAGCCAAATCCTGGTAGACTTGTCGTTGGGAACACGCACCTCGCAGACCCATCTGTTGTTGTTCCTCCGCCGCACTCCTCGGTACACGGGGTGCCTCGTCTCCTTGAATATTCGACGCCCCGCGCGTTTCTTGGGTCGAGCCGACGCTAATGTAAGCGCTTCCTCGTCAGAGTTAGCAGTGTTTGGAAGGTTAGAGAAGCTGGTTTCGGGTGATGAACATGAGTAGCACTCCGACTTGTGTCCGCTGTTCGATTCGTCGAATAAATGTCCGATAATGTTCATTTGTTGGGGATGTTCGATGAGATCTCAGATATAAGATGTGTTGTTGTTAGTTTGAGGAGTAGTGAGAAGTGAGTGAACGAGGAGTATATATGTCTGGCTTTTTGAGCTTTGCAATTTAACGCACGTTGCTACGATGTAGACACGGACACGGGTATAGGGTATAGGTGGCGTTAAATGTAGGGGCCTGTGGGGGCCAGCCAAAGTGTGAACCTGGCGGCCCACGGTTAACACTTGCTTTTGCTACCTCAAAGGAAAGGGTTAGAATTAAGATTCGGTCCGAAGTTCCCATTCCTACGTTGTCTGCATGTCACGTACGAACATTAACACTTTGACCCGGCTGTTCCTGCTACAGTTGCACGTGACGTAGATTGCTCTCAAGTCTTAATTCGCAACTAACCGGTTTCGGGAAGCAGAGTCTAAAGCGTGTTTTGGGAAATTTTGCAACGCCGATATCGACGTGTTCACTAGAGAATATGACATGTAAGTAAGAGTCAGGGTCACTGGCTGCGTCTTTGTGATTAGTGAAAAAGTATAGTGGATAGGACTCACGATCATTCATTCATTTTGGTCTCACTTTTAGCCAATCACCAACTCCCCAAGCCTCTCGTGTTTCATGTCAAATTTTGATTTTTATATTTTACATCTTTTTATATAATTATTCTTTATTATTTATCTTATCATGAACCATCACGTAATTATTAATTTTTTTATTATTATTTACTCACCGTTAAATACTCAATCCCAATCAAACCTTAAGATTCATTACAAAAGAAAAGTTCCCTCGAACCCATCAAAGACTTATACATTCAATATCGTCATCACTTTTGCTACTAAGCTCTTATTCACTGTAGGTAAACTCAGGTCCATCTCAAATTTGACTGTAAGACAAATTGTTTAACCATTATGCACATATATGTTTATTAAATGACATTTTTAACGAATATTAATTTTATTGAACGCGTTATCATATATATTACATTATCACTAAACACATTCTCTATTTGATAGTTACAACACTAAGCGTAAAAATAGATAAACTTACCTACCTGGTCATCGAGGCCTAATAAAGGATTTATTTATTTATTTTTACACAAGTACACTATTTTTATATACTAAATTTTTACTCTAATCAAATTTTTTTAACTTAGGCATTAGAGTATTTTCTTTAAGAATATTTTTCTGTTGAGCTTATTAAAGTAACGTGAGAGACTATTATAACTTTTATCAACCTTCAAAAATTACTAATATTAAGTTTTTAGGCTACACTCAATAGTTAGATATTATCATTTTTTCCTAAAAACTCGAATGAAAGAAAGAAGAGACGGATAAAAAAAAGATAAAATATATATTTGAACGAAGAAAATAATAATAATAATAGTATGATTTCAAAAAGGAAGCATGAGATAAAATGGAAAAAATAAATGTGAGGTAAAGAGGGAAAGAAATTTCTTTTAAAAATGTTTTAATTCAAAGAAAAATTCATGATTAATTTTTATAGAATAAAAATTATGTATTTTTTAAAATATATAAAAATTAAAATTATATATTAGTATTAGTATAAAATATCATTTTATAAAATTTACTTATTCTTTTATCTTCTTTTTCATTATCTAAACAAAAAATATATTTATTTCCTTTTTGTTTTCATTCATCTAAATAATTTTTATTTTATTTTTTGTCTGTTTCATCTATAATCTGAATAAAGTATAAAAATTTGTAAACATTAAACATGAAAAGAATTGTCAGGATTCTTTAATAATATGTTTGGTTGAGAGAGTAAAGAAGTAGATTTTGTGTTTGGATTATAGGAAGTAGAGAGAAAAGGTAAAAAAAAATTGTGGTATCTGATTTATTGTATATTTTACATGTTTTAAATCATAATATAATAAAAAGTTTAACTATTGAAAGAATTAACACTTTAATTTGTCACTTTTGTTTTTTTACTTAATTTGATCCTAAATTTGAAAGAATTAACTTTTATTTTCAGGCTCAAGCGGGTGCAAAGAAAATCACCAGCTTAAGTTAAATGTGAAAACAATACTATAAAAGCATACATGAGACTAAAGGTTATATATTAATGAGCTTTTGTCTTTTACCTATAATTGTTTTAGTCTCTAAAAATCATTGAAGCATCACCAAATACAAAACGAGGGAATTTCACAATGTTCAACACTCGCTCCCACTGCCCACAATACCTAGCAAAAAATAACCAAAACTCAAAATTGACATACACAATCATTGTTTCATCATATACTATATCAATTAAAATATATTTAATTATTATTAAATTACATATTTATAGATATTTAAATTATTAAAAATTTGACATACTTTAATAGCATATTATTTAATAAAATTTAAAATATTATATTCATTCATGATTGAATTAATGAAATGTATCCCTTATAAAATATATTTGAAAATATAATTTCTGACAATATATGCGCATACATTTATAAAGCTTTAAACAACTTCAATCCAGTCAAATTCCCTTCATCAAATTCCATTCATAACAGTTTAAGCAACTATTTATTTATTTATTTTCGTTTACTTGCTTTTATTTACACTTTGGAATTTACTCGCACCCAATTATTATCATCTTACATGTTTTCTTTTTCTTTTTCACACCTTAAAATTCTTTTGTCTTTTTTAACTGGAAAGTTTTTTGCAATGTTTAATTGTTTTTATTTGCAACTTTTATCTTAATCATTATTCTTAATATTTATGATTTAAACGTTCTTTATTGAAGAATTTATCAAGAAAGTAATTCTCTTACTTTTTTTTTTTCTTTTTGGTCAAGAGTAATTCTCTTACTCTTTCGTTTTTTTGTCAGAGTAATTCTCTTTTATTTTATTTTTATTGGTCCACAGAGTAATTCTCTTACTCAAGACTTTGTGAAGAACTTAAGCTAGCGGGCTAACAAGCAAAGCCCACGTTCATTGAAGGTTTGGACTTGAAAATCGATAATCATTTAAAGGTGCGTTTACATAGATTTAACATATAATTTTCTTTCGACCAAAAAGAAAAAACATATAATTTACTTATTATTGAAACAAAAAACCATAATTTACTTATCGACCGAAAAAATTATAATTGACTTCATGAAAAAGAAAAGCTATATAATTTGCAGTATGAATGGGCTTAACCTGCGGATTTGCAGGGTAACTCTTAGGTTTTTTTTTATTATTATTCATTTCATTTCATTAATAGCTGTTAAGTGTTAACTAAAGATGTAAAATGTCAAACTACCCTAGTCATCTACGTTAAGTTAATACTTTCTTTTTGCATGTACTGATTGCTTAGTTGCAAATTTTTTAGCTACGTAATGAGTGAACATTTACTTCCATTAAACATGTGATATGTTAAAAGTTTGAGATCTTTTTTCTATTTATTTAAATCACAGTTATCCTTCATATGAATAATTATATTTGAACCGCAATAAAACTTTTCTTTCACGTGTTTAACATAACTATTTTTTCTAAAATAATTTTTACTTTAAATTAAATTACAAAACAAAACTATCATTAAATTTTTATTTTAAATTTGATAATTGTTTTTATAAATTTTTTTAAAGAGTCTAAAAGTTTGCAAAGTAAAAAGGATTGGTATGCGGGGTTAGCCCACAACTGACAAGTATCCAGTGTTAAACTCGCACTGGTTAAATCGTTATTTGTGCTTACGTTGAAAGGTCCTTCTACCTACCTTTACTTTTTCGTATATTAAAATAAAAATAATTTTTTATATAAAAATAGTGAATTTTTCGGTAAACACTATTACTATCTTGTAACTACTTATTATTGATAGCTAGAGTCAACACAAACCTAGTGATTAAAGATGATTATAACCTAATTACAATCAAACACTCTCTTTATCTCATTTTATTGATCTTTTAATGTGTACACACTTCTTGAAATATTCTTAATTACACAAATTACGATGATAAAGTAACGTTTTTTAAAAAGGCATCATTATCGAAAGAATAATATACAATTATAAATTTATTTAAATACTAAGAGAGATGTCAATAAATAAATATGCTATTACAAATTAATATTTTTGTAATATTTTAAAATAACAAATATTTAAAAATAACCTAGTCAAAAGCCACACTTTTTAAAAATAATCGATCATAAAACTTCTCACATTTTATTCATACAAATTCTTTTAATTACTAAACATAAAAATAAAATAAAATTCTTCTAGTTTTAAGATAAGAACTATATGTACTTTTTAATATGATACTTGTTTTATGAAGTAATAAAAATATTTTATTAAGAAATAACATTAATGTACCTCTTTCAATAATTTTTAATATAGCACTGGTTGACAATATTTTAAAATATAAAAAATGACAAAAAAAAATATAGTTAAAAAAAGAGGGGGGAAAAAACTGAAAAGGGTAAAACTTGATGAGTGGAGGGCCACTTATTGCACATTTTGAAGTTCGTGGTCCTTTCAGCCTATTGCGAGAGAGTGAAGTGGGTACATAGCTTATCTTTTAAATCTGCTCTAAAAGAGACATATGATTCTGTCTCACCCTATGCGCCCTTATTCCCTTCCCTTTTCAAAATATTTTTAGGAACTATACATTCCACTTACATGCAGCAAACCAACCACCCTAGTTCGTTATTCTATTTGATTTTGCTTATTGTTTAGTTCTAATAAACTCATTATTAATCATGTTTTTACAGGGGCATGTAGCGTACATGAAAATTCTACTGATACATTATAAACAAAAACAATGTTTCAATATAAAAATACAACTTTAAACAGAGATTTATGAATAATAAGTTACGCATAGTTATGATGCTAGGAATATAAACTTATAGTGCATCAAATTTCAGTATACTACGGCAATAGAGTTTTGACACAGTAATGTACTAAATAACACAACTATAATTTAACAAGAACTAATTATATGTCTTTTATAATGTAGTAAATTTTGGAAAATTAACTTATAACCATGTTGTAAAATGCGAGTGTTTGTTGTTACTGAAATAATCCTAATCCAAATAACCATGCAGCGGTGCTTGTGGTTGGCATTGATTGTTGTT